TGTTACAGGTTTAAACCAGTTTCTGATTACTTAAACCAGATTCGTGTGTAATGTCTGTCCCTAGCTCTGGTGATAGCCTCCCCCTATAGGTAGCGCATAGGGAGGGCACGGGGTCACATGCCCCCCCCAAGACAAGCTGCCGCCAGCTTCTGAAGGCAGTTTCTGTTCACCACTGCTGACAGCATGGACAGTGGCTGGAGGCAGTCCCCACTCGCTGGCCACTGCTTGCCAACCCCCCACCCCCTCCCCGCTCACCACCGATGCTGCTGTGGCCGCCTGCATGCAGTCTCCACTTGGCCTGCCCTCCCCGCCGACATCATCGTGGCCGCCTGCAAGCAGTCCCTGCTCGCTGCCCCCATTGCCAACACTGCCACCGCTGCCTGTGGGTGGTCACTGTGCCCCACCAGCCTCCATGTGTTATTCATGCCTCCCCCCATGTCAGGAAATTTAAGTGGGCACCTTTAAACTAACATGCCACTTCTTATAATTAACTTGCAATACAAGCCATTCACAGAGATGTTCGACATTTAAATGCAGTTTACTATTTTTATCATGTAATAAATCAGTTAAACCTGTGACATTACAATTTGTTGCATGCCAGGGGCCTAAAACATGCATCCTTGTGCCATGCCCTTTGTTGAAGTGTTAGATCTTTTTAAATTTCCATCTGCTGTTGCTTCTTTCCTGTTCTGGTCTTTTTTCTTCTCTGCTTTTTCTTAACAATTTTTACTTTTCTTCTTGGGTTTATTATTTCCCAGTCACCAGGTTTCTATAACTAGTCCTTTCCTTTTTTATGTCCTTGTGTGACAAGGTATTTAGCAGAATTTGTAAATTTGTTGGAATCTGACAGGGCCATGCCATGAGTGCTGCTGCTGTGGCCTCCAACTTGTGACCTCAGGGCTGTCAATTGTGCTCCTTGGCATCCATGCCACGCGAGCCCTTCCTACAACTGGTACAGGAGCTATCTTTTGGTAGCTCTGTGTTGCATGAGATCTGCTTTTGTAGTTGAACTGAAAATGGTGAGACCAGGAAAAAAACAAGGGCTGGAATGACAAACCACTTCCTGTACTTATAGCCGTGTATACGAGCATCTCCTGTGGCCATTTTATTTAAGATCAAAGGAGCAGAGAGGGAAAGTAGATTTTGCAACTGCCTGACTTGGAGAGGGCTGGAAGGAGATGGATAATAAAAAGAAAAAACATTGTGTTATCCTCATAAATACACCTGCAATGGAGAATGGGGTGGATGCAGTCACTGTAGTTGCCTCAAACTGTTACTTTCACAATGGACTAGGTTAGTGTCAACTGGGTCAAGAAATGGTGCATTTAATAATAGGGCATGCAGCTGTAGTAGAAGCTAAAAAAATGGCAGTTCCATAAAGGAAACAGAGTTATTAGTAAACATTTCATTGAAAAGACTGTAATAGTTTTATTTATTTAGCAAAGATCCTGAAAGACTTGACCACAGAAAGTGATACTGAACAAAATTGCTTCATCTCTACAGAATTCTAATAATTAACAAGTTAAAATACTGAAAGTAAAGATATGTAGGGTTCCCTTGGTTTTTGTCATTCCTCATTTCACTAATTCCATTTACCTGCTTTGTGAGCTAAAACAAAAACTTAGACAAGGCTGCCAACAAAAATGTTCCTCAAAATGTTGTGTTAGATACAAAATGCCAATACAGATTTGTTAAATGCCTATCTGAATTAGCAAATCAATATTAAACATTAAGGCTGCCTACCTTTAAATTTATCTTCCTTCTTCGTTTTAGATTCTTCAGCAGAGTTTAGAGCACATGACTAAGGCAGTTAGAAGCAGACTTCAAAGGAGCCTTAATGTATGCTTGATTGATTAGACAGGGCTAGAGATTTAAAATAAGTGAATGAAAATGTTATCCCAAGCTCAGCAATTAAGCTCCCTTTATTAAAAAGCTTTAAAGTATACTAAATTATTTTCTAAGCAGATAATGGCTACGTAGGTGGTATGCTGCTGTTTTCTGCACAATAAGTCTTTCTAGCACTTATGCCTGGTAACTCATCTTTCCTTCCCCACTGTTAGACTTGTTTGCTGTACTTGTACATTGTCATTTAGTGCTGATTGCAGACTCTTCAGGATGTGTGGACTGCACCTTCCACAGTGGAGCATTGATCCTTGGAGGCCTGAGAAATCGCACCTAATAATGGGCATCAAACATTATGACCAAATATGGCCAGTTTCACCTACCTTGTAGTTGTATTCATCTTTTGTGAAAGAGGCTTGCTGTCTTGCCATTCACTTTTATTTGACATCTGGTGATTTTGGGAGGAAGGGTTAATAATACTTATTGTTTGTTTTCCAAACTGTTTATAAAAAACAACTGTGGTTTGATTCAGTGTGATAATTTCTGTGGTCTTAATTACAGCTGTTAGAGTCACACCAAGGTTACAGTTCATCCTTAAATGGAATGGTGAAGTAATAGTTCGTAACATGCTTTTGCAATTTCAGGAGACATTCATGAGGTAGAGAAGGTCAGACTTGCACATGACCTTTCTGTTGATATTTAGACTGAATTCTAGTTAGGAGAAAAATCATGCATTGTAATGCCACATGATATCCAGCTAGTATAGGACTGCTGGTTCTGGAAGCAGACTGTATCACAGAGCTGAAGTGTTCTGTTGGTTTCCAAGAGCAATTGTGGAATATTGGGATGAGTGCATACATTTCAAGTCTGTCTCCTGAAAAACACATGCTTGCTCTTTTGTCTTGATGTTATATAGGATAGAGGCTCAGAAGGTTACACTGCAATGAGAGGGTGCAATGAGTAACCTCACATAAATTGACCATACAAAAAAATCTTTTATTGGTGTAATTATATGAAAGAGTATTAATTTTTTGCCTGCAATTAAATAACTTTTGAAGAGAAGTACATTTTCTTTTGAAACATGCATCAACAATTTAGTTTTCTTTGTATGGTAGTTGCTGAAGTCCTGCAGTTGAGCGATGCTCTTCGAGATAACATCCTTCCTGAGCTTGGAGTTCGATTTGAAGATCATGAAGGTAGCTAACCACATGTACTGAAAACCGTAGAAATGTAGTGAATTCTTTTTTTAAGATATTGAAAAATTCAAACATGCCGAAGAGTAATAGGGAATCATAACTTGACAGACATTAAACACAGTAATCTTGAGTAAGCCAACATAGGTCATGTTTTAAAATAATCTTTGATAAATCAAGAAAATGTGAATATTGGGATCAGCATTTGTTTTCTTTCTTTTCCTCCAGGACTCCCAACTGTGGTCAAATTGGTAGACAGAGACACTTTACTAAAAGAAAGAGAAGAAAAGAAAAAGGTTTGAAATTATTTAAGTGTATTTAAATATTTACACACATCAGTAAAATGTGTACTAAAGTGATACTGGGCCCATCTACACATGCATTTAATCTGGCCTAGATTTACTATAAAATAAGCCAAAGTAAGGGTTTTTGGGCAGTGTCTACACTTGCAGGAATTAGGGATCAGATTTGTACCGTTTCCTGCAGCCCTGCAATGGGCCCCTGCTGCCACCAGGGGGAGCTCCAGGCTCCCCTTGGGTGCTAGCCCAGGGGCTGGCAGGGAGTAGTCTCCTGGCCCCGGGGGCTGCCTGTTGCTGAGGTGAGAACAATGTCCCCCTGCCCTTGCATCAGGGAGCTCCTGGTTCTGGCTCAAGGAGGGGCAGGTCGCTGCTAGCTGCCCCACCGGCAGATTGGGGCAGGAGGCTGGGACCTACCTCACCCCTACAGCTCCATGCAGGCCCCATGCCTCAATCACCCGATCAGGGCATGGGGCTACAACCTGCCCCTGACCAGGACAGTTTCCAGCCAGCCCTGCGCTGTGCATGTGCAGCCTGGAGCTGGCTGGGGCCTGCCCAAAACAG